TTTTTTTTTTTTCTTTTTTTTTTTTTTTTTTTTTTTTTTTTTTTTTTTTTTTTTTTTTTTTTTTTTTTTTCCCCCCCCCCCCCCCTCTTTCTTCTACCTTTCTTTATGTGAGAACATCAAGGATTCCTCCCCAGGCTAAACAGCCCATACAGTAGTAGTAAATAATAGGATTGATCTTCCTTTAAAATCTGCTGAGAGACTGAGGCTCTAAAACTTCTCAGCTGTGCTCTTGAACATTAAATAAATGATAATGACAGGAGGTCTGACCACTCTTATGACATTATACTGCTGTAAGACAAGGACTCCCTACATTACCCTTATGCAACGTAGACCAGAACAAGGTCCTCTTATCCTAGGATATCAAATACTCTCTTATCTAGTACACTTACCTAGTCTCTTGTATGTGAGATAAAAAGTGTAATCTTCCCCTAAAGAAATGTCTGCCTAATACTGTCATCAAAACTTTATCAGAGAAGTTAAATTAATACCAAAGGCTGCAGTCACAGGAAGCCTTCAACCTGTCCCTCACAGTACTTCCATGGGAAGACCCCAGAGGATCTTTATAAGGCTGATCTCCTGCAATGTATGAAATGGATATACAAAGCATCCCTCTGTTTCTTTGGCTTAAAATTCCTCCGCTATCAGAAAAGCTTGTAGAAAGATGTACAGGAATTTTCTTTCAGAGTCTCCCCTTTGTCTGATGCCTTTTCCTGCTGCTACAGGAAGAGAGCTAGCAACCTTCTGTACATTTCACTATCATTCATCTGAGTTATTTACTCTCTGGAGTGCACAACTGATATTCCTTCTGCTTTTTCCATCTGTTCCCCTTAAGGTCAGAAAGCCAAATAGCAGAGAGCATTACTAGTCTTCTAAGGAGCTGAGTGCCAAAAGTGAGGATCCAGCACTGACAGCATCGTTGAAGAATATTTCCTTTGCTAATATATTAATATTGATAATGTGTTAATATATTTTGCCACTGTCTTTTACTACAGCTTTCTGTAGCTTTAAGCAGTCTGAGACTGTACTTCAGACATTTTATAATGATCTCACTAGACTTGTCTCTGAAATACTTTTATTTTTTAAATCTATACCTGCATTTTCTTTAGGGTGTCTGACACAGGAAAGGACTGAATCCCATTTTCCTATCCCCAGGGTCTTCACAGTCATACTTCCACAGATAATACAGACTGACTCTGGCTGCTAACATCATCAGATTGAAAGACAACTCTGGCTTTGCTAGAAAGCAAATCCAACGTAGAGGAGATAATACGTGGAGACTCTTCTAGAAATTATCCTGTATTGTCTTGTCATCATCCAAAGACACATGTAACAGATCCAGCTCTGCTGACCACACAACGTGTAAGAGTATTCTTACAGACACTATGGGGTTGTATGGAGCCGAGTGTTGTTTCTTATGTACCAACAAGAAAGAGCATTAAAAAGAGGTTTATTTTGCACTTCACATCCCCAGGTGCATCCTCTCTGTGAAACATTAGAGGTCAAAGATCAAACTCCAAGAGTTTTGAGTCTGTGCCTAGTTTAACCAGAGGAATAGCACTGTTAAACTCTGCAGTATGGCCTGGAACATACAAAACCAAAATTACAAGATAGGAATCATGAGATCTTTTAGAACTGTGGATGAAGCAATATTGTGCTTGAGATAAGAACCACCAAGGAGAAGATCTAAGGAGGAGAATAAATGAAAATTAAAGAAACAGGTAAAAAAAAAGTCAGTTGACAACACTAATTCAGCCTATAAACTGAAATGTTTTCTCCTTCAGAGGACAGACAGAATACTAAGCATCATTCCTGAGAAGGCAGAATAAAGTACCAACGCTTTTCACAGAGACTTGAGAAATTAAAGTAATGAAAAAGAAAGAGAAAAAAGAAAAAAAAAAAAAAGGCACCATTAAACTCACTCTTGGTTCTCTTTTCCCTGAATATTACCCTATTTCACACTTTAGAGTTTACTTAAACGGTACAAGGTAAAGACGTAAATGGAAGTGATTACAATATCATTAAGCAGGATGACTGTTAGGGGATGGGGGAAGTGCCAGCAGGTGAGTCTCTAGACAGACAAAGGGATTGACTCAGGGAACCACTGCACATCTATCCCTGTCAAGAAAGGGCACAGGGATTGAGACCCTCTGGGGGCTTCACAGCAAACTACTGCTGTATTCTACCTTGCTCTTTCTTCTCTTGTTATTTTTATGTTATTGGATGAGTGAGGCAAGAGATATTAGAAAGACTGACTTGTAAGCTAGGATCCTCAGAGAGATTCTCTGAGCAATCTTTTAGGATGGATAGAGATTTCTGCCAGACACAACAACCCAATAGCACCAGTAATCGAGAAATATTATTTTTGAAATCCAAGTTTAAAAAAAGCCTTTTTGCAACTGGAACATGTCTGAATGCATTTAAATAAAGCTGGATTTGCAAACAAATAGTTGTTAAAGTACTTACGTGTTGGTGTTGGAGGTAGCAGCCGTCTCCTAGGAGATCTTTTTGGATCATAACAGATCTGTGAATCATCTTCCTCAAAAAAACCATGTGGGTGGTGATAACCTTTCGGTCTCTCAAAATCTGAATCATGGCAGTGATATCTACAGTGGTGATCATATATATGTCTACATTTAAAATACAATAAAGAAAATGTTATTTCAGTCTGTTTCTGTAAAATGATACATTAGATATGTTCTTGAATATTTTCAAATCTACTCTTTCTCCAGCAAGATAACCAAACATTACATTACAGAATTACACAAATCAATTAAAATATACAGTTTTTGTATGCTAACTTATTTTGAGATACACCTTTGTATTTTTATAGTTCTATAGTAAGTTCTCAGGTGAAATTTTTATCAATTATATTTTCAATTAAGTTAGTCTTACCACTGTGGGCTAAAATACTGGACCTCAGTTGTATACTGCTTAAAAGAAAAGCCAAAACAACTCTGTTCAGAGTATTAACAGTACAGAGTTTTCAGTAGAAGTGTGCTTAGTGAAGCCTTTACAGATACATTCCAAATTTATTGAAATATTTTTCCCAGTTAAACAAATATCCTTACCTGTTTCCTGACAACATACTGTCTTCTTCATAGTATTCTTCTCCACTAAAATATTCCTGCTCTGCCAAATAATGATCATCATTGCAGTAGTCTTGATCTTCACGTTCTTCACGGCAAATAGTAGTTTGACGCCCATCACCAGAGTCAGATCTGTAAGCAGCAAAGAAATATTTTTTAATGTTTTCTTTATATAATTTATCTACTGTATATTTTATACACAGTTATTCTAATCTGCTTCTAAGGAAAAACACAAGCATTAACAATTGCCCAGTTGTTAGAACGTGGTGTTCTAGCAAATTACATAGTAGTACAGTTCAGAACATGACTATTTTATCTGTTTCAAAAATATGACCTCCCTTTATTTCCTTCCCCATTAAAATAATTAATATAAGGATAATCAGTGATGTCAAATACATTTGAGACATTTTTATAACATATAAATTGAGAGTACTCTGAAGAAACACAGTCTTTCTCAAATGTCTGAGATTTGCCAAATGGCTAAAATATTAAAGAATACTTAGTGAGGTATTCCAAGAAAAATACAGAAATGGATGTAACATTAAAAACCAGTGTTGAATGTACATTTAGCAATGCACTTTAAATAATATATCCTATATTCAGACTTAAGACAAGGAAAGATTTTCCTTGTCTTAATGGAACTGTACATATTAATATTTATCAAAGCTAAAGCCAAGTGTTTTTTCCAGTCTTTGCAAGGGAATTTTAAACAAGGGCTACCACTAGGTGTAATCTTTTGTCTCTTGAAATCTGCACAAACCTGACCAGACTTTTAAAATGGCTTGAATAATTTCAAATGTTACCAGTTTATCCTTTTAGAACAGGAAGTGGAAAATTTGACTTAGAAACTGTCAATTAAATTATTCAGCATATGCACTGTAATACAGTTAATTGTGAAGACTGTACTGCTTAAAAAAAAAAGACTCAGAAAAGGAAAAAAAGAAAGGAAACTACTTTGTCCTCCAGTTATGTCAGAGCAATATAACTCACCTAATATATGTTTCATAGTAGCGGGTTCTATCCAGGTAAACCATGAAAATAAGGAGAAAGTTTTTAGTATCAAGTAGTTTAGAGCAATTCATTAGTGACTACACTTTCTGCTGTAACAAATAATTTCACATTAAAGTAACTACTTTCAAGTATTACTAAAGTTATATACACTTCCCATACATCAAAGCTACATTTTAAGTATATTTTGTACATCAGTAGGCAACAGAAATGAAGCTATATATACAAATTAGTTTAACGTAGCATAAATTTTCTTATAGTGTATTTAGAAGTTTATTTAAAAGCAAATACATATTTGTAAGTTTACCTCCTATTGCTTGGCCTTCTACGCCTCTCATGATCAGTTCTGGAGTATGAATGGTAACCATTTTCAGATCTATGCTCACGATTTCCAAAATTTGTATGTTTCCCATGAACTTTGGACACGTTGGCATTATTGAGATTGGCATTTGTTGAGTTTGGAACTTGCTTTCCTACCGAGTTGTGACTATGATGATTGTGGTATACAGAATTTCCTGCCTGAGGATATATATTTTTCTCAGTATCACTTGCAGATGGAATTGAAGGCCGCTGAACATGTAAGGGACGGTGCGTGGTGTTGATCTGCTGAAATGAATCTCGTCTGTCACTGCTAATATGGTTTATGTGGTTGCCAAAGAGGGCACCATTCCTCTGTTTTAGGGGAAGAGAAAAAAAAAAATTACATCAGATACCTTAACAGAACATATTTTTGACAGTGACAACTTACTTTTCTCCCCTACATGCAAATAGAAGTAGCAACTCAACTAGTCTGTGATTTTTCTTTCTAATTTTATAATACTTTGGATGGGATCTCCTGAAGTGATAGAGATGTGATTGTGATAATGACTATATTTGTATTTCAGTCAAATCAACATTAGGCTGTGATCATTCTTCTTTTCCCATACCACTGAATGTGACATCCAGCTTTCTCCACATTTTATTACAAAGGAGAAACCTAGATTCCCATACATGAACATGCACCAGCTTCCTCAGAAAGGGACACGTCTGCTTAATTTTCGAGACCGTTCTGGTGGAATTCTCTCTTCTTCTCCCAAGAGCATCAGTTTGCAACAGGCATCACTCAGACAGGATGGAGTGCCATGCAACAGCTTGCAAGCATATCTCAGGAAGGTAAGGTTAAGCTTCTAGTGCTTCCATTCTTTCCTCTTGCAGAGGTACAAGAAAGAGTAGTATCTCTTTATCAGCCCTGAGAGTGTAATGGATGGTGAAAGAGAGAATGAAGTGCTACGTTATGGCTGTGACATGCAGCTCTCCTTTACATCTGACCCAGATTATGTAGCCTCCCTGTCTAGCCAGGTGTGAGTCTTGGATGACAGCAGTCTGTCTTGAAGCTCAATCTAGGGAAGACAGGAGGCAATGATGGTTGGCAGAGAAATGCATCTACTGATGGCACCTGTGGCACTGTCTCCAGTGCCACATCCTCCTTTTTTGCAAAGGACAATAGCAAGCTATGGAGCTTCTGACATAATTACAGCAGAAGCATGCTTTTACACCTGCTGCTTCTGAAAGCCTTGTGAAAAAATGAGTTTTTCTGCTGACTGACAAATGGTTTGCAGATTGCTCCTGATTATAACATCAACTCCACGTGTTTACCATTAGTCTGAATATCTATAGTATAAAAAAGGAAAATGAATGTTTTTTTCTGACTGATCCTTATTGGTATGTCTCACAGCAAATTGAAAAAGACATTTATATTTAGTTGGCTTCTCTGTAATTCCCTGCATTCATTTTAAAATACACAGCTCTGTGTCTGTTGTGGTTTGGCTACACAGAATTTCATTCTCCTCTTCCTACCCACCACTGCAGAACTGAAGATGCTTCCAGTTTAAACCTTACCACTATCTAATTTTGAGATGGTAAGGTTCATACCTTTTCTTAGGATTTACTTAAATAAAAAAATAAGAATTAATGAGAAAGAATCAGGGGCAGGAGAATCACCTTGCAGGAACCGCTTGCTGAATTTATAATGAGCTGCAAGTGTCCTGGGTTATACTATTTTTATAGATATACATAAATACTTATAAAATATTTATATTGTGCCAATTGGAGGGGGGTTTAAATTATTATTATTCCATATTTAGGGATAAGCTCATTTTTTAATCTCATATTATATGATAAAACAAGTCATGTAGATATGTTCTGACATTACTTTATAAACATCTTCCTCCTCCTCTGGATTGTTTTCCTCTGGTTCATCATCTTGCAAGTCACAGGATATAGCTCGGCGTATTTCAGGGCCAATATCATGAAGTGTCCTTAGTCCTGCCTAAATTAATGACAATATCATAATATATTAGGAAAGCAAATTCTTTTTTGTACTTCAATTACAGGTGTGTAAACTGATGTTAAAGGACAGTTAACAATTTTTTGTGTCCTGACATCCATAGAGGATGCATCCTACCACATGTCTCTTTACTGCTGTTAACAAAAGGCTTACATTCCAGTACAACCCTGTTGAGGTGATCATGTCTTTAACACCACAGTGTAGCTTGTGACTAAAAAAAACACTGATGTTTAAGGAACCCTATGAAAACAACATTCATCTTTAAGTAATCAGAAAGAACTATAATAAAATGCATTTCAATGAGATGCAGATATAATGTCAAAAACATGTTTGCAGCCTGAGTCCACAAACAAAACGTAAGGAGATCTTTGCTATAGCAACAGCAGTTTTAGCAGAGCTCAGATGGAAAAGAAAGCAGTTAAATAATTCCAGCTCATCTGCACTGCACTGTGATATACAGATACTTGATTTAAAGCTTTAGGTTAGGACAGAAAACCAAGTAGCTACAGTCGTATGGACCACAGTATGTATCAGTTCGTATTCTTCTCAAGCCTGATGCCACAGGCAAGCTTCAGAAAAAGGGATAAAGCTGCAACTACCAAAGACAGACCTGAACGTTAGTGGGGAAACAGACTTCGTACGCAGAGCCAAGAATTCAGTGCTTTTGTACACGCCTCTCTTCAAAAAGGAGCTGTGTTTCCTGCTTTAACTCTGGCTGTCATAGGCCAAAGCAAAAAATGCATTCTTGTTCTTCCCGACTTTTTTTTATCTCCTCAGGTCCAGAAGAAATAAAAAAATTGTTTATCCCTTTACTAACACTACACTACTAAAAATCATGCACTTGGCTAAAAGCCTGACTTTTTGTTTTTCTGCATTTTTTGATGCAGATGTGAGGTCTGTCCCATCCCATCAGAGCTATACTTCTATAGAATGCAACTTGTCCTGGGGTGGCATAAAGATATGTAGAAAATTTTGTGTGTTCCAGAGCTCCAGATGAAGCTGAAGGACCTTGGAAGGCACCAAACATGGCTTGGTCCCATACACACACTCCCTGGAGTACAAGACAGACTTGCAGTCAGGTTTCAGCTCAAAATGGAAATAGCTGGTTTGATGGGGAGCAAAATGGTATTCGTGCAGTGTGGGCAATCAGAACCTGGAAGGGCATGAACCAAAAAGCTTTGTATCTAACAGTGCAAATTTACCACAGGTTTCTCTTCAGGTTTCACTCATGGCAGTATTTCACTTCCTGAAAACAACCCTTGTCTAATCATATGAGCTACATACATTTGGCAATTATGTTTTCTTCTTCAGGGATGAACTTTGGGACTTATGCTATAATTGGACAAGGCTCTAAAAGCAATTTACTAGTGAGTTAATATACAACATACTTTTCGCGAATACAGTGTGCGTTCTCCCACTTCTAATTCCATAGTCAAGGCCTTAGTGAGTAGGCTCATGTTATCATTTTGTAAGGCAGTAACAGGAAGTAAAATTAACACTTGAAGGTACAGATTTTGAAGCAGAAAACCAAAGGCTTCTATTTCTTTAGCACAGGCAAAATCAGTTTTACTTAGCAGAGGATTACTGTTGTATTTTTGTTATTCAGTCATTAGCAAGAATAGTCACCTGCATTTCACACTCACTAGCTCCTTATTTAATAGCAAAGAAAACCAAAAAGAATAATAAACCTCAAAGCTACACTGACACAACATAAAAATAAACTGAGGTTAGTATGAACAGAACACAATGCAAGAACTACTAAAATCAGAAAATAAGCACGCAGAAAAAATAAGTGAATAGACCTACGCTATAGCAGTGAACGTAAGAGACGTAGTAGTCAAGTCTCAAGTCCCCAGTGTTATTCATCTTCACAGAGCCCATCTTCTAACACTGAAGCTCAGTGCACTGCTCCACAACTAGGCAAAAGCCCTGTGCTTTGGGTTAAACCCAGGTTCCCTTCAAGCTAAGCCTTGCTGTGAACACAACACTCTCAGACAGCAGGATCATAAATTTTAACCCTGGCAAAAACTATGAGCTTGTATTCCAGTCTGCCAAATTGTGACAAAATCCCACAAATACATGCCTAAAAGCTGAGAAAAGCCATGTGTTTGCCAGCAACATATTCAATAGGAATTTAATTTTGATTACATTTCCCACTGCCTTCTGGTTTACTTCTTGGTGAATTAACTCCTCTACTCAAGAGAAAGCAGGCAACTTTTGTCTCTCTTCAGTAATACTCAATAAGTAACAGACCTCTTGCTATGACACAGTCAGCAGGAGAAAACTAACACCTGGATCACCACATATAAAAGTATATGCTAGTTAAACTAAACTGGTCAACTTTATTCACTCACAGCTGGTACTGAAGCCACGGGTTCTACAAGCAATACCTGCTTGTGGCACTACAATGTTCTTCAGTTTATTTGCGCTAAGAGAACCATCTACAGAACAGTTCTAACAGAACTACCTTCAATAATTTTGTGAACCCTATCTTTAAAATGACTACTCCCATGTACTGCCTCATTTTACCTGGTGTAATCTGAAAGTATTCTAAATAATATAAGACTTCAAAAGAATTTTTATGCCAGGACAGAACTACATAGCGAGACAAATTTGCATGCAAAATCTTACTGATAAGACAGTCCTCCTTTAGATCAGTCAACTACAACTGAAGTGGGGCTGATGTAAAAATGCAGGCATTGGTACTTATCTGTCAGTAGGGAATTCCCTTCTCTGAACCACATTTAATGTCTTCTAAGAAGATCATAGAAGTAGCATGGACTGATGAAATATTTGACTTTACCTTCAAGCACTTCAGAACCAAATCAAAGATCTCTTACATAATAGAACACACAAAAATCAAACCAACTTCTCTTACATCTCTCCATTACTTTACAGGGAAAAAATTCCTTCTGATATACATTTCCTTACATAATGGTGCCTATTTTAGCCTACCCAGCAAGAAACCTAGAGACGTTATACCGCACAAGAGGGCAACGGGGGTATACGTTGTCCTCCATTTGTGAGATTCTAAAAGTTGCTACATTTAAAGCGGAGACAATTTTTTTGCTTAGGAAAAACAAACAAACAAACAAACAACAAAACAACCCTGAGTAGAAAAGACTTTTCAAAAAGATCCTCTGGATATTGAACTGTCTACATTTACCAGAGCCATCCTTGTTTCTTTTTCACTACGACTGCTTAAATTCTTAGGACACAATTAATTCTCTCCATGGAAGTTCATAAGGCCTTTTGTTGTTATAACATAAAATGATTCAAGACAAGTCACGTTCCTGATCCATCATGCCATAATGATTTTAAAAACCAAACATAAAACAAAAACATCCACTTTGAGTGTTAAACAAGTTACTTCCTCACTGTCTTTGAGCATAGTTTATCAGAGCTGCAGAGAAAAGGAAATCACAGCTAAATCCTCTTTACTTTCCCCAAATCGAACAACCAGTAGACACTAAAGACTGCTAAAAAAAATTTCATAACATTTGATTTGGTTGGTAAAAATTGGTGGATGGCTCACACTCTGTCTAGTCTCCCTTATATCCTTATTTTTTGTGACAGATTCTTAATTCTTGAAGATTTTCTCACATCTGGAGAGAATTCTCACCTTTCCTTAAAGGAAGCTTCAGGATTGTTTTATGCCATTTCAGCAGTAAAAAACCACCTTTAAAGTTTTTCCCTGAAGAAGTGTAATATGTGAATAATAAATATGTATTCATTTCCTAATTTTTTGAGGACCAAAATATAATTCACATCACTTCAAAAAGCAAAAGGTCACTTTTGCCATCATATATATGTATAATACGTATCTCAGCTCTGAAGACTGGAAACCTGCAAGGCTCTAAGCCAAGTCACATGGTTCACATTCCTAACAAACTGTCGTTAGTAACCCCAGAATATTGCAGAACGCGAAATTTTCCAGTTCTGTTCATCCCTAACATTCCAACAGAGTATTATTAGTTGCTATACAAAAATGTTTTTATCTAATGTATCTGTAACTGGAATTTTATTTTTCCCCCTCACATGGGTGTTGATCTTTATGTTCATTTATGCTAGACCTTTTAAGCAAATTTTATCTTCAAAGACAGTGGAAGATGAAATGGCCTGTAACATAACAGAGAACACATGCAAGAGACACGTTTAGGCATCAGTCCTATATGGGTAACATTGATCAATACTGCATGATTGAATTATCGATGCTGTTGTGAAAGTGGACATCTGTTTTTGCTACTCCGTTTCTCCTATTTTGTTGTTGTTTCTTTGAAGTAGACGAAGGAAAGGCATTAATGCTGCTGTGTTTGAGTACCTCTAACTCTATTCTAGAGATTTCATTAGAAGGTTGTAAAAAGTAATTTTTCTCTTATTCAGATACTTTCTCTCCAAAATTAATTTTTTACGCCCTCCTTGCTTAATTTTTTTCCCTGTAGGCATAAGAAAGATGAGATGCATCAGTCCAACGGTTGTTCAGCAAACCAGTGACACAGTGTGTTGGACAACATAATTATGTAAGAAACCCTAGCATGTCTTTAAGGCTTTCCCCTAAATGCACAAAATGACTTAAAATTAACAGGCTAATTCTGTGCAGTTGCCCTTTATGAGGCATAATAGCACCAGCAAGGTTTTCAGGATGGCACGAGGCACTAACACACCAGGTGCTGTGTCCTAAATAGCATCTCAAGATACAATTAATGATGCCCCTGTCTCTGACACAGCCTTGAGAAGACACATGTGCTTTCCAAAGTGAAATAATAAAACTGTAGCAGCCCCTCTGTGAGAAAAATTGTCATATGACTAATAACTGTATTTCTGAATTGGTCATTTAGAGAGACAAATTTAAAGATGCTTGAAAAGCACCTCATGCCAAAATATCAAAACATTTTAAAAGTTAAAAATTAAAACATTAAACAGCTAAAAACCTATAAAAGACTACTTCTAACAAGTTTCAAACAGATTTAAAATCATTTTCC